CGCCACCGCTGATGGCGCAGCGCACCAGCGGTGACGAGCGCATTATCAGCCCGCCAGAGGGTGGGGGGCCAGCGCGTTAGCCAGCGCGCCAGCCAGCGGCGTCGACCAGCACCGGCGGCCAGCACCGGCGGCCAGCGGCGTCGGCCAGCGGTCTGCCGAGCCGCGGCGGGCTGGAGGAGGCTGCCACACCGAACGCATTTAACCACGCCGGCCAGCGCAGGGTCTGGACCAGGTTTCAGGCAAGCCGCCCTGGTCCTCCATCCCTGTGTCGCCTGCAGTTCTGGGCTGCGAGACCTCTTCACGACCCTCGTCGCCTCCTGCCTACCAGTGAAGTGACGAGGCATTCCTGCTGCCGGTCCCCTTTCATGGTCTCGACGTTCCGTGTGCACCTCTGCTCACCGGCAGTCCACGTTCCTGTCCACCGCAGCACTCACACAACACCTTTCCCGTGCGCTCCTCCCCGGCCTCCTGCGCACGCCTCAGCCGCAGACCTCCCCTGCCCTGTCCACGCCGGCGCGGTCACCGGCGGCCCCGGCGACCGCCTCCCGCTTCTTGTTGCCCTGCAGCCGGCGCCGGACGCCGGTCTCGCCGTCGTCACCGCCGTCGTCCTCCTCGTCGGCCGCCGCTTCCGCTTGCGGCCCGTCTCCTTGTCGCCCAGCGACCTCAGCTCCTGTCGGGTCACGGCCGGAGGTCACCGGTCAGGGTCGGCGATCCCGCTCTGTGACGGCGAGGATAGGACAGCGAGAAACCGCCACTGTGGTTGACGTGTTAGCATTTAAATGTGAGAATAACGCTCGGTCGCAACTGCGCAGAAGCCCGTCTACGGAAGCCAACGACCGCCGACCGATTTCCAAAGGCCAACGTGAAATAAAGACATTGTTTTCGTTTCATTTGTCTCTTCTTTGGACTAATCACCTGGACAACCGTCGCCGACGGACGAAACGGGCATTCCCGAAAGCGGGGGCCGCGGTTTACGAATACGGAGACGTGTATACGGATAACATGAGCACGATCACAAACACGAGCCGGTACAGCGCTAAGGCCACTCCCCAACTCCCGCCATCCGATGTGGAGAAAGCCGAGCGACAGCAGCGTCCGGGTGAAGAGCGTGTCCCGGGGTCAAACCGGCGGCGCGTCCGGTCGGCCGTGAGGCGGCGCGTCAGGTCGGCCGTGGGTCGGTGCGTCGGTGCTGACCTGTTTGGCGAGCCGGTCAGCCTCCATGACCCGCTCCTGGAGCATCATGACCTCGTCCTCGGCCGCCGCGTACTGCGGCAGCTTTTTGCCTACGGGCCGCGGGGCGACGGTTAGTGGCGGCCACCCCGCTCGCGGAGGGTCAGAAGCGGCGGTGGACAGGTGACGGGCGCGGGGCGATGGCCAGTGGCGGCCACCCCGCTCGCAGAGCGTCAGAAGCGGCGGTGGACAGGTGACGGGCGCGGAACAATGGACGTGCGGCACAGAATGAACGCCGCAGGGAGGGGGAGGGGGAGGGGGAGGGGGAGGCGGGCATGTCAATGGCAATGTGAATGGACAAATGCAGAAGGCACTGTGTTCGATGGACACTGCAGGAGCGTCCTGGAGACACATCAGAGACAAATGCGGTGATGGGAAGACAATGATGTCATACACTATTCCCCTACGTTACGGGAGGCATGCCAAACAACCAGACTAAGTGAAGAAAATCTGGATAAAGTCAAAATGAATTCAGTACTTCCGCATGGCCTGGTCTGCAGCCACCCACTGCAATGCTTGCAAAGACAACACACTGAAATCACCTCTGTACAACAAATATCATCTTATAAACATTTCCCATCCTTCCGCAACTTTTCAAAGTCTGCAATCTGTAAAACAGTACCCGCAAATGGTTTTAGCAGCCGTTCCCATCGCACCCCCACCACATTCTGCGGGGTAAGCGCGCGTACCCCCAGTCCCGCCCACTCTTTCACTGACCGATGAGGTGTTCGATGCGCTGGTACAGCTCCACGTCGTACTGGGTGACGAACGTGACGGAGCGGCCAGCGCGGCCGGCGCGCGCCGTCCGCCCACACCGGTGGATGTAGTCCTTGCTGTGCGTCGGGATGTCGAAGTGACCACCACGTCCACGTGCTCGATGTCCAGCCCCTGAGCGGAGCGGCACGGCCAGATGTCAGAGCGGGGCGGAAATATGTCTGGGCGGGACGGCCAGATGTCAGAGCGGGACGGACAGATATCCGAGCGGGACAGCCAGATGTCAGAGCGGAACGGAGAGCGCGGACGGAGATGTCAGAGCGGGACGGCAGAGGTGTCAGCGGGACAGCCAGATGTCAGAGCGGACGGAGAGAGATGTCAGAGCGGGACGGACAGATGTCAGCGGGACGGACAGATGTCAGAGCGGACGGAGAGATGTCAGAGCGGGACGGACAGATGTCGGGCGGGACAGACATATATCAGCGGGACGGACAGATGTCAGGGCGGGAACGGACAGATGTCAGGGCGGGCGGGACGGACAGATGTCAGAGCGGAACGGAGAGATGTCAGAGCGGGACGGACAGATGTCAGGGCGGGACGGACAGATGTCAGGGCGGGACGGACAGATGTCAGGGCGGGACGGACAGATGTCAGGGCGGGACGCGCAAGCCTACTGCTGACCAAAAACTGACAGCCAAACTAGTCACGCGTTAGCTATCGGTTCATTCCGTTACAGCGCACAGGGCCGAAGCACACTGAGGTTCCGGTGAACAGACTCGCAAGTCCCACGGATCTGTGCCGATCTGAAGCACCCATCTGAGTTATAACTCCAGGCCGGACTGACACTGACTGCAGAGACGGGCGGTGCAAGCGACACGACACCGACCTCGTGCGGGAACGGTCCGCATCTTATCACATCCAACTTATTCTCCGCCAGCATACTCTGGTGTCAAGTTTTAGTGGCCCAGCTATATTCTTGACAAGCGAGTGACGTAGTTTGGGGTGCTGGCAAACGCCAAACGATTGCGCTGCATGAGCTGTAATTTTGCCCAGCCCAGGGGCCTGCCTGTCACGTGGGGTGCAACAAGACTCCCGTCTGCATCCCGACCAGCCACCCCCGAGGCCAAATCACAAACGACATTACTATAGGCCGTGCTTTAATTCGCTTTAGTTTGTTTCAATGCTTAGTGCGGCCTAGCAGTCTCTCAAATCTGGGACGTTTGGCAACACAACACGTAATGTGAGCCGATCCAGCAGCCCAGCACCCGGGACCGCTCTCACCGCATTTCTGCACCTCGCAGCCCAGTTCACGCCACGACACCCTAGCAGCCTGGCACGGGACCAGCAGGCGTAGCAGCCGACCCGGCAGACCGGTCAGAAGTGTGTGTCCCGGCCAGGGTCAGCCGGCGTCGACCAACCGGAGGTGTAACCGGCTGGGTCAGCCCGGCGCCGACGACCGGAGGTGTTACCCCGGTCCGGGTCAGCCCCGGCACGACCGGCCAGAGGTGTGCAGGTGGGTCACCCGGCGCCGACCGGCCGGGGTATCCCGACAGGGTCAGCCGGGCAACGACCGGCCGGGGGTGTACCCGGTCCGGGTCAGCCCGGCACGACCGACCAGGGATGCAACCGGCACCGACCGGTCGTGCCCCCCTCCCTCGCATACCTGCTCGCCACATCCGTAGCCAGTAGGATGCTTGTTCTTCGATTTGAACTTGTGAGCGCGCCCAGCCGTTGTTCATGGTCATCTGGCCGTGCAGCGGGATCGCCTGGAGAGCCGGAGGCGGCGTCAGGCCACGCGCCCGGTCCGTGCCGCAGCTCGTGACGGGATTCGTCACACTCGTCAGGGTAAAGGGGCTGCAAGTGCTAGCTGGTGAGAGCGCGGGGCTCTGACGCCACCGGAGAGGTAGTGCAGAAAAAACTGGCCAAAGGCTCTGTTTACCACGAATGGCCATTGCCATCATTGATTTATCATTCCTAACTTCATTATAGCACTGTTAATATCATTCTATAATTAAATATTATCATCATATCACCGCATATCATAATATCATAAGTGTTATGCCATCAATTTCAAATGCACCTTTGTGACATTCAGTCATGCACTGTTTAGGGGAAAAACCATAAAAAAATCGCCCGCATTCCAGCCTTTGTCAACGCCAAGGCAGCAGACATATTTGGTTCCAGTACCCATGAATTTGCTTACATGATGAAAATCACAGGGAACAAACCAAATCAACACGAAACCGGCGAGTCACGCAAAGTTAAGACGCCATTGCAAGGCCACAACCCCGTTCACACCAGCAGAAGTCTCGGCCATGGGATGCCTGTACTAGTGGAGGCCAGTAGGTTAGGTCAGGTCGCGGAGGGCACGTACCGGCAGGCCGAGCGCGTTCAGCAGGAGCGAGAGACGCAACGTGTTGTTGCACGTGCCGCAGAACACCATGAACGAGTTGCCGGCCAGCTCGTTCAGGATGTGCACCAGGTACACGTCCTGCGGCACAGCCAAGGTCATGGTTAGAGGTCACGCCAGAGGTCAACGCCGGCAGTTCATGATGAGGGCCGAGGGCAGATTAGTGGTCGACTGTCACGGTCCATAAGAAAGGACACGGCTTGTAAGAGCTTTAAAGAAATTGAGCACGACATCAAGCACTTATGCAAATTCATGGGTGCAATTGAGCATGCTGTGCATGGCTGTGCAGCATTTTAAGGTTATACGGTCACACAGCCCTGCACAAGGAGCAGGCACCCGCACCTGCACAGCACCATGATCGCTTGCAAAAAAACTTATCAATCTAATCAACATGACAACTGGATATAACTACGAGATCGAACGGAAAAATGTCTAAACATTACCAACCCGTATGACATAAGGCAAAATGAAGGAATATCTGAAGGAATATCGCAAAATATAGCTCACGGCCCTTCACAACCTTTCGAAACCCAGCGAGGCCAGCGACACGGCAACAGACCAAACAGGGCTGCGTGGTACAGAAGGCAGGCCCCCCACCTTGTACTTGGCTGGGATGAAGAGATAGTACTGCTGGAGCTTGTCCACCGTCTGGTACTTGCTGGAGACCTCGACCTTAACGGCGTCGCGCAGGGCCGCGCGCTGCAGCTTCTTGACCCTGCCGGCACCGCCGAGGCGGCGTCAGCGACACCGGCCGGCAGGGCAGCGCGCTCGTCACACACGGGGCCCGGTTCGAATCCCGGGCGCGACACGTTTCAGCGGACACGACGACAGCGGTCGCGGCGGACTACAACAGGAGCAGACTCGGCAGCTATCCTAAATATGAATACCACATTGTTGGGGGCAACTGATCCAGACCCGCTCGCTGAGGTCTGGAAAGATACAACTCGCTGCTCCACCCCCCCAACCCACCAGTCAAGACCGAACCGCGTGGTGCCGACGAACAAACTGTTAAAGTATGTTACTGCACGCACATCATTCAACTTTCCTACTTCGTATGTTTTGATGACATGGGCGGCGACCGCAACATCAGTCATGCTGGTACATTACGGCGTCATTTCCAACTGCGCATTGCTGAGGGGCAAATGGCGGCGATCGCCCAACTGAACAGGGATCAACATTTATATTTACTTGTTTAATGAAATAAACAAAGGAAAACACACCGCAAAATGGCCGCCGGCAGCGTCGCTGCCAGCCCGCGACATCCGCCGCTTTCGTGCATGATTGCTATTGTTACAGAATCCCTGCAAATAGGAGCACACCTTCTTGGTCATGGTGGCGGAGAAGAGGAAGGTCTGCCGCTCGCGAGGGATTGCCTTCACGATCTTATCCACTTCCACGCCGAAGTCCATGTTGAGGATCCTGTCCGCTTCGTCCATCACCTGACGTCAGACGCGACGTGACGTCACGCATGACGTCACACGACGGGCACCATGTGATGCGGCGTCACGCGAGGGGGAAGCCACACCGTGGAGCGTGAGGTGAGCCGGCGCAGCACAAATGGCGCACCGAGACCGAAGGCATGTGGTGTGGAAGGCATGTCGCGTCGCTACCAAGTGTGACAGGCCATGGGCAGTATGCAGTCTGACGAGATATAACAAACGTAACATGGTGCACCGTGGTGACAGCACACGACGTGGCCCGACCCCACACATGCAGCGTGGTGACAGCACACGACGTGGCCCGACCCCACAGATGCCACAGCTTGGTGTGGCGTGATGGCAACGCATAACATGGCCCGATCCCAAAGTTGCCACAGCATAACACTGCAAAACAACACATGACGCGGCCCGACCCCGCAGTTGCCAGTGTGGGAGATGCTCAGTGTTCTCCGGTGATTCACGTGACTCACGAGACACTTGAGCGACCTCAGCGAGAAGCCCTTGGTGTTCTCCAGATGGTCCACACCAGTCGACCGGGCGTGGCGATGACGACGTGCGGCTTCTTGGCCAGCATCAGGCTCTGCGCCATCATGTCCATGCCGCCCACGATGACGCAGCACTTGACGCCGATCGAAGCGCCTGCGGTAGGAGGAGCAGCGCTGTGGTGGCGGCGTCACGGACAGACGCGGCGTGGACGGCGCCACTGGCCACCGTTCAGCGCTAAACGCAAAGGGAGTTTTCTGAAATCACAATCAAGCTGTACAAGAGCATGCCTGCAAGACCAGCTAATCCATCTTGAAACTTTTAACATGTCACACTAAAACTTCGAACTAAAAACTTGCCGTCCTTCAGGGTTTATCAACTCCACCAACAACAACTAGTTTTTACGCTCCCTACAGCCCATACTGCTTTCAAACACTCTACTTCCTAGTTAGCTTTCCTCTCCGCCACCCCCGCCATGGTCCAGCACTCACCCAGCGCCTCAAACTGCTCAGAGATCTGGTACGCCAGCTCCCTGGTGGCGTCAGCACGAGCGCGAACAATCGCTGCGGCGCCTCCAGCAGCCGCTGCAAGATCGGCAGCGCGAAGGCGCCCGTCTTGCCCGAGCCCGTCTCGGCCAAGCCCACCACATCCTTGCCTGCGGGACACGCAGACAGGGTTCGATGCAGGGACGTCAGGGGACAATGGGGGCTGAGTGACTCAGAGACATGGCACAATGGTAGAAGGGTAAGTGTATCTTTGGTTTGAGTAGTGTAGCGCAGACTCATGTTTTTGTCGCGACTGCGGTGCGTGGTATGTTGGGACAGTAGTGGCCACAAGCAGGACATGTATGGAGGAATGCAATACTTCAATAAGCTAACACAGATGGTGGCTTTAGAAGATGGGCTGTCCAGACTACTCACATCCTTTGCAGCCTTGTACATTTGAAACCTGATTGACATGTTCTTCCCTACTAATAGGCAGCTATCACAGACCCAGTTGATGTGATCTTTGGCCTGGACTTTGGACATTCACAAGCACAGCCTGGTGAGGATGCCATAGATCTCAAACTCATGGAAAGTGAGAGGATTTGAACAAGGCAAACTTGGAGAAAAAAGTGATGACACATCTTTAAAAAAGGAGTACCATAATTTAAAAAACAAGTAAGGAGAGTATACGTGCAATTGGCATCATGTGTCATTACCTTGCAGAGCAACAGGAACAGCTTCACACTGGATCTGAGTTGGCTTGCTCCACTTGAGCCTCTCTGTGGCTGTGCAAAGCACCTCAGTTATGCCCTGCAGGATGCATCAGCTAGTCAGCAAGGCATGCCAAAGCTCCAGATGGGACATGATACCTGAAGACAGTGCTGACTACACAAACATCTACATGACTCCAATGTGCCTACACCTGGCCACTAGCACATAGCACAAGACATAGTATACCAGACATCTGATTAAAAACTCTACTTAACATTTTAGCATGGTTCCATCCATTTACAAACATCTGTAGTGGAATGGCGAAGTGCCAAAATAATACTTAAATGTCATGTAATTCAGCTTACCAAATCAGCAAATGCCAGCTTGTCTTGGTAGGCTTCAATCTTTTCTGAGCCATCAGGGGCTGGCTCATCATCAGATGACATCTTAATGGCTTTGGCAACAGAAAAGCAGGATCTTTTACTGACCTGGGGACATTTGAAATGTTATCACATTGCCCATCAGCGCACACACTTATCTTGTATGTTCTCTGGGTTTAATATGCAAATGTTCTTTATAGTTTAAATTTAGATCCAACAAACATGCCAAAAACTGAAATATTTCATGACAATGGCACTACAAGTACTAAAAATATTGGTATTTCTATTGAATATAAAACAAGCTGGGATGTTAGTGGCCAATTTGTTATGGCAGACATTCAGTTTTTATACATGCAACTGGGTGAGAGCATATCAGAACAAAAGGCAATGAACAGATCATCATTTATCACATTAACAGATGTCACGTACAATGTGTACCATTTTTACACTTTCTTTAGCGCAGAGCAAGTCTCAAGTGCAGAGAGATGCGCATCCAGCCTCTCCACATGCACCAAGGTTCAGAAGTTGTCTATTCTGGGAATGTGATGGTACTGATAGTGAAATGCTTGCAGAAAGACACCATGACATACTGACTGATGCAATCTGAGCTCAGAAGAGATATGCATACATTTTTTGCACCCATGCTCTGTAAACAAAATAAGTATACTGCACTGAATGCCTTCACAACATTAGTGCACTGGACCTAAGGCTTGTGTGTCAAACTCCAGTCAGACCACATCAGAAAAATGCGTTAGGATCAAATTTGAATACTTCTTTAGAAGCAAAATTTAAATATTGTCCACCTCTACCCTGGAATTAATGTAGCATGTGCACCAAGCTCTGAGCTCTTTGAGTGTGTGTGTGTGAGCATCATTGGCATTTTATGACACACTCAGCTGCTGATGCTATATGGCGTCGCCTGCCTCTCAACCTGGCAGGAAGGGCGGGCACTGCAGGGAATTGAATCCCGCGCCTCTGGTTTCCCAGATGTGCAGTGGTTAGCAGACGCGTTAACCACTACACTACCAACACCCTTCTGAGCTATTTAATTTAGCTGAAATTGTGACAGCAATGGTTGCTGCCACACATGACACAATTCATGTGACATATGCATTATGCAGCCTGGCCTATACCTACTGAGTGTGGAGGTCTTTCTTCATCATCTCAAGTCTGGTGGCAAATATAAAAAACATCAGCTAGTGTCTCCATACCTACAAAAGATTGCCATAGAGTTTTGATGCACTGAACATGCTTTTTCAGCTGGCCCTGAGCTGTGCATTGCTTTTCTCAAATAGTTTCCCATCAATACTTTGTACTGGCCTGTGCTCATGCCAGTCTTGGTTCTCCAAACACATCATGTCAAAAAACTTCAAATAACAGTCACAAGATACACATAGAAAGCTCAACTTGCGTTGGTGTAACACTACAGCGAGCAATTTACAACACATCCATGCTACCAATAGACATATATCGCACGTACAATACACACCTTGCGTTCCTGAACTGACTATTTTCCTAACCACACCGTTAACAACGCGATCCTCTCCCGGAGGCCTTGACCTATCGCCTTGGTCTTGACTGGTCTTGCCGTACGAACACAGATGCAATCTGCCGCACGTGCACTTCGTCAAAATCAACCACATTTGGCACGTATTATCTGCGCCAGAATACCCAAACTTCTATGCTACTAGTTCATGGTGCCTCCAAACTATCATACTAGAGTACTACTAGACGCATTCTTTTTACGGTGATCTGATCGGTAGTTTTGTGTAGAGTACGCTTGTGATTCACCTGAAATGAATACTTTAATGATTTTTCGTGAATATTAAGGAAAGTTATTTGTATTTTACCGCGAAAAGCTCCTTTATCAAGGCAAAGCATAGTAAAGCTGAAATGCATACAGTAGCACACCACAGCGGCAATCCGGTTACTATAGCAACGGAGATGAGCCGAACCAGGGTGCGTAAGGAATTGAAATCGAAATGTCTCGGCGGTTTTCGGGTTTGGTCCGGTTTGATCTGTGCGCCTACGACGACTGAAATTGAATTTACCTGCTTTGACACAGTGAGTATTTGTTGCGGTGCATGTACGTGGACTCTTGCAGAAAATATATTACATGCGCAGTCAATTGGTAACACGGCATGCATGTCCGAGGCTTTGGAAACGACAAACAGTTTTAACAAGGACCGGCCACGTTTAATGACAAAAGAAGCTGGAATGCGCGAAATGGAATAGGAAACGGCTTAAAACCCATTCTGCGGTCGTTTGTGCTAATTCGCTCGCGCATTTCGTATTCGTCGCGATGTTTCCGAATCGTGCCGACATTGCTGCACCATCGGTGTGTACAGCTATGATCGACACGGTTCCGTCCGTCAGGTTTTGCCACTGTCGCGATTAGATTCGACTGCTAGCTTAAGTACGTCAGGGGCAGACCTCCTCAAATCATATGTTTTAACATGCCGCATCGTTTTGTTTCCAGATTCACGATGGATTTCCAATACGTTTACATCAAGAAGCGCTCGGAATTTGGGCGACAATGTTTCTTCAACAGCGAGCCAGGGTGTGAAGTGAACCGGGTAGCATTTGCCGCACACGTACATGAGAATACCGAGCGTAGCAATGCGGCGAATAGCACATAAACACATTGGCAACGTGCTGGTGAATGCAAGTAGTTGTGAGTATGGCCGCAGTGCGTGCTATGGTGCGAGCGCTTGATAAGTCTGGAGGCATCACGCCCACCTTGTAGCATCCCTTGCAATAGCTCTTTCTGTTATGCACATTTGTTCACCTGATGGTTGGCTCAGGTGAAGTTGGTGTCAGTGTAGTCGCTAAGCACAGCTTATTCTTGGCCACTAAACCAATCTACGAAGTGGTGGGAACTACACATGCTCGACGGGAACTACAAGTTTCAAGCGTCATGACGCTGATAGGCGCGCCCCTTGTTAAGGTTCTCTCCATTGCCAATCGGGAAAAGCACCCACCTTGGGTGGAGTTCGAACTCACCTGATGAATGTCGTGTTCCAAGGCAATGACACAGCATCAGCTACTTTGATGACAACATCCGGCGCTCAATAAACTGCCTTTCTAGATACACAGTGCATAATTGAAGTTGCATTTTCTACGGTGTTCTATTGTTTAAGTTGTTAACCACTCGCGAACATTTCGATTCCTCACGCACCTACCTAAGCGCGCTGCTTATCCGTCCTCTGGCCCGGATTGCGTCCCTGCCCCACCATGTGCCGTGAACCGGTGTGCTGGACGGGCGTTTGGCTGCTCGTCTCGCATTTGTCATCACAATCAGTTCCGGTTGAATACCGTGCTTAGTCTGACCTCTGGGATGCGGCAGCGCGCCGTTAGCATCCAGCTGGTGCCCGCCCGCGTCATACCTGTGACCCTGACCTCTTACCCATGCCCACCTCGCGTCATCACCCGTAACACTGGCCTCTGACCCGTGCCCGCATCACGCCATCACCAATAACACTAACCTCCGAACCGTGCCCGCCTAGTGTCATCACCCGTAACACTGACCCTGACGCGTGCCGGCAAAAGCTGCCATCACGTGCGACATCGCGCCGAACGCAGAGCTGGCCGCCAAGTTCCTGCACGTGAACCCGGTGCACCGCGGCACGCAGGTCGGCTGCGAGATGTCGGAGCATGAGGTCAGTCAACGGCTGCCGCGTCTCTCTTCGGCCCACCGGCCCGAAAATCCGCCGCGAGCCCGGCGGGAGCGAGGCTGTCGGATGTGCGAGGCAGAGCACGTGCTCCGGCTAGAGTTGACACATTGTTTGATGCAACGTGTGATCTGGTTTTCGACTGGGGTTGGCGAGGCGTTCAGCGGTTGTTGTCATGTCATGTCACGTCTCTTGGTGGCTCATGTCATGGTTGTCATGTCTCCTGCGTTTCACAAGGGCGCGAAGTAAGACGATGCCCGCGTGGAATTCAGACGCTGAAGCGCACAATTCGCACAACACGGTGTGTTTGCAGTACGATGCTTGAGATGAGCTGGGAAAGTCCCAGTCAATGGATAGCTATGCCTCGGGGCGCACCGGGAACCGAGGATCGGGGCAATAACTGGTAGAGTGTTAACCGGTTCACGGCAACCAAATAAAGGGGAAAAATACAAGTGCAAATCAGGTGGTCTGTAACGCAATTATATCCCTTCGATATTTAATAAGTTTAGCAATGCAATGACGTCCTTTTCGCCTTCAGTAATGGCCACTGCCACCGGCTCTGACACCGATGATAGTCCTGTTGGAGCACTGGTTTAATGAGGTGAAAAGGGCTCGGCAATCTTCTGTCTTTCGTTCGGGCTGTGGGCGGTGACGGCTCTTATGCCCCAAACAGTATGCTTCAAGATGAAGACGGCACCGGATGCAGCCTTGCAAGGACTTTGCATGCTTCCATTTTTGTTTTTAACTGACCTCTATCTTCCTCGCGCAGGCTCCCAGCCGGTTTCATTTGACCCCCCCCCCCCTTCCCCCCTGTTGTGACCTGATGTCAGGTGAGCACGGACCGCGCCGAGTACGCCACAACGGGCGTCGATCACACTGAGGGTGGCTGGCCCAAGGACATCAACCCCCAGGACGTGGAGCAAACGACCCGCTTTAAGAAGAAGGTGGAGAAGGACGACGTGTACATGTCCTCCGTGCTACAGCTCGGCTCGGTGAGTGTCGGCGACGCGATCGCCGAGTGGTAGGCGCCCTCGGTTCCGACGTGGGAGGTCCGGGTTCGAACCCCGTTTGCACCATGGCTCCTGATCGCTAACCTCTGTAACCTCTGTTAGTAACCTCTGTTAGTAGCTGGCGTTCCATAAAAGGGTTCGCGATGACGTACGCAGCGTTCCCTTCATAAAAGCTCGACGAATCCCTGATGCTAGGGGAGTGCCGGTGACGCCGGTGACGGTATGTCGGAGTTTGTAGAGGACCTGGGTTCGAATCCCGCGTTGGCGAAATGTTCAACTAGTCTCATTCCTTGAACTGGTGCAAGCATTGGCAAGCTGAGCTGTAGCAATGGCAACTTCATGGAAAAGAAAAAAATTATTTTGTTTGTTCTTATCAGCCATCGTTAGTGACATTATTGCTACTCTAGTTATTCTTTTGATGATCATCATTGACAGCAAAGCTCGCTCATCCTCAGCAAGGGTTGTTGCGGTACACCAGGACTTCGCGCAGGCGTCAGGATGCGAAACTGTTGAATGATTGCGTTCTGCGATGCTACCCTTTGTCTTGTAACTACTCTTGACAATCAGAGTCAGTGAGACAGTCTGTGGCCATAAATTTGTATCGTGGCGCTAGAGGGTAATAACCATAAATGAGGAAGTTAGGAGCCACGCCGCTATGCGCTCGATTTGTGTTGTGCGCAATGCACGCGTGAAGTATCCATATGCCATCTTATGCCATGCATCCATGATGATACATGATGACGCATGATTATTTACCATTATGTCAAGCATCCATGTGCCATCATAGTCGCGACATCTGTAATGCATGAGGCTCGTTGGCCAAATATCATGCAGTTTACGTCCTCGCCGCGAGTTCAGAATGTGCGATGCAGCTAAGGAGTGAGTCGACTGTTTCTACATATCTTCAAACATTTTGGTCGAAGTCAGCGTTCGATCTTCCATCACGTGGCGCGTCACTAACCCAGTGACGCGCCACTGTTGTCTCTCCCACTGTTGGTTGTGACGCGTCTAGCCGCTGCAGTGGTTTTAGCGCAGCGGTCTTTTGACGATAGCGGCGCAAGAAACAGACACGCCGGTGCCTGATCTAGCCTGGCTTCATCCCGCTGGGTCTGACCCGATTTGCGGTGGCCCCCGGCGACCCGTGACCCGATACCGTTCTCGAATCCGTTGATTTGAGACATCGCTGCGCCTGACACATTGCTATGCCTGACACATCGTTAGGGCTGACACATCGCCATGCTGTTGCTGTCATCTGGCACGTTTTCGTCCTACCCTGACTCGGTGACCTGATCACATGATCTTAACCTGCCCTGAGGCTTGACCACGTGACCTCACCCGGGTGACCTTGGCGGGCAGATGATGGAGCACTGCATCAAGCAGAACAACACGCTGGACATCTACGAGGAGTAACTTCGGGGGCGAAGGAGCTGACGCCCCCGGGGACGACACCACCAGCGCCAAGACCATCAACGTCTTCCGCGACCCCTGTCCCGTCCACAGGGCGGTAAGGTCCCCCACTACTGACGGCCATACATGCATTCGCTTGTCCCGCGTTTTTGCTGCTTAAACTGGGTTCGACCTGCCAATGACGTTTACAAGAACGAGGTTTGAAAATATTCGTGTCAGTCTCAGGAGTTGTTAAAGAAGTCAACGAGTCAGCATTGAGTGCTGCCACCACCACAAGGTTTGTTGGATGGCTCCCGCTTGCTAGAGCGTCGCTCTTAGTGCTGCCATTGGGATTTCAAAGAATTGTTATCTCCACACAGATCCCATTGTGTTTGTCGTTTTGGTCTCTTGCCCCAGTTGGTGTCTGGACGCCTCTGACTGTATGTGCCCCCTTATAACTCGCCGTGTGTCTGTGCCAGGTGTCCAGTCTCAGCTGGAGTCCGGACGCCTCTCATCTGGCCGCCGCCTACACCAGCCTGCGTTTCCAGAGCAGCGCCCAGGACCTGCCCACCCAGTCATTCGTCTGGGACGTGGGTGAGCAGCTGCCGCTTCCTGTCCCTAGAAGGGGGGGGGGGGGGGGGGGGGGAAGGGGAGCGGTCTGCGGAGCCGGTGTTGTGACTGACTCGGTCTGCAGCTCGCCACAGGGGACCGGAGGCAAGACGGTCGATGGATCGTTCATCCTGCAGAAGTATCGTGTTTGTTGCAGCTTACTTTGAATGGTATGTTTAGCAATTTGTGCGAAGCTCCCGGCCAAAAACGCCCGTCCATGTTATCAGGAGTGGTACCACCCGGCGAATGACGGTAGGAAGGCAGGCGTGTTGGGGCACCCGTCCCTTGCAACGCCGTGTCAGGCGTAAATATAAGTTTCGCTGCACGCACTGCCGCCGAGGTATGATGTCACGGTTCAAGGTCATAAGGACACGCCGCCCATCCCTGCGGCTGCGCCGTCCCACGTGACCTCCCCTTGTCCTGACGCCCCTCCCCCACGCCCGTCGCCGCCGACAGAGAACCCGAGCCGGCCCGACTACACCATGGCGCCGCCGGACTGCCTGGTCTCGGTCGAGTTCAACCCGAAGGAGTCGTTCGTGCTGGCCGGCGGCACGTACCGCGGCCGGGTGTGCTGGTTCGACCGGCGGCGCGGCCCGCAGCCGGTGGAGATGAGCACACTGGAGGCCAGCCACCGCGACCCCCGTCTACAGCACCGTCTGGGTGAACTCCAAGTCCGGCACCGAGCTCTTCACCGCCTCCACCGACGGCATGGTGAGCACGATCAGGGAGGGGGAGGGTGTCGGCCGGATGGGGACGTAACCAGGTGGTCTGAAACAACGGCTTCTGGTGCGGGCGGTCTGGGTTCGGCATCGGGTGCGGTGGTGAACTGAAGGACGTGCAGGTGCCGGCGGTCGCAAGAGTGGACTCGTGGTAGCATACACTTACTCCGTAGTGATGACAAGGACGGTGGTCAGTGACGTGACGTGAGCAATCGTATTCATTGCTGCTCGCGATGAAAGGCACAGAAAGTGCTCGTCGACCGCCGACGCTTACCTTCACACGTTAATGCTGTGTAAACAGGAGCGCGCTGATAAACGGGCTGGTTTTGTGGAGCGGCCGTCTTTGTCACCTCACCACGGCGGGCGTTGGTGGATGGTACCTGGCCCTGACCTCAGATCTCTCGACCTCAGCCGACCTCAGGTCGTCTGACCTGGCCTGCCGCCGACCTCAGGTGCTGTGGTGGGACACGCGAAAGCTCTCAGAGCCGACGGAGACGCTGATCATTGACGTGAACAAGACGCAGGAGCCGTCGCTGCGGCTGGCGCAGGGCGCCACCGTGCTCGAGTACGAGACCACCATCCCGACCAAGTTCATGATCGGCACCGAGCAGGGCTGCGTCATCCAGTGCAACCGCAAGGGCAAGACGCAGACGGAGAAGATCGCCGCCATCTACTCGGCCCACCTGGGTGCCGTCAAGCAGGTGGGCGCCGCGCCGGGCGGTGGTGACGGGGCGAGGGGAATGGGAGACGGTCTCCCGTCGGACGGACCTCAGGCCACAGACCCGCGGGCCGCGTGGGTCTGTGGGTGGGGCTGGCGTGGGTCTGTGGGTGGGGCTGGGCGGTTGAGAGAGGGTCGGCCGGCAGTCGGTGTTGACGTGCGAGGTGGGGAAGTCAATGTCAGGCGTTCAGAGGACTGGCGAAATGTTCGGCTGTTTAGCAGGGGGAGGGGGGGGGGAGGGACTATTATGCTGTAGAAACGGTGGATGCTGGGAGTGACGAACAGGAGGCGTTATTATGAAGTCGGAATACGGTCACGTGGTAACAGACAGACGATTAGAGGTACAGGAACTGCAAACCAAGACTTCTGCTGTTCATCCGTTCTCGCATCACTTTGTGCCTGGCCATCCAGACATCGTCATGCGATGTGTGAGCACTTCGTTCTCCACGTAAACTCGCCGAACTTGGCTGTAACACAACTCATGACGGCTGCTCATTATCAAACTGGCGCCTGACGCTCATGGCCGTGGCCAGTGGCCAGTAAACAGGATCAGCGACGTCCGTGTTCTAACCGCTGCTCAGGTCCAGCGGAACCCGGCCTTCCTGAAGAACTTCCTCACCATCGGCGACTGGTGCGCCAAGATCTGGTCGGAGGAGTGTCGCGAGAGCGCCATTTTCTGGACCGAGTAAGCCCCCCCCCCCCCCCCGCCCACACACACGCACATACGCCGCTAGAGACGGGCCACATCCGGCATGCTCCCGAGTGACTTCAGAGTGAATGCCCTGAGTACGTGCGTGACGTTGGTAAGTTAAAGCCTGCCAAATTGCTGTGGGCACAAACACTCCCAGGTGTATTCGGGGAGTGCGTTCAGAGCGGCTGCACAGCCGGCGGCCCGTCGGGCACGGGTCGGCAGATTAGGGGCGGAATCTTTACACCACAAAAACATTTTTCCATGAGCATTAACATACACATGAACGTAAATATAAACGTTCGGATGAACGTGATCATGAACGCCATGCTTCGCGTTGATTAGCTCGTTATAAGTCCTAGTTGTTTGATTGGTAGTCTTTAAGTTTCGCGATATCGGATTGGCTGTTTTTGTCCCCCGACTTTTTCATTGGCTGTGGGCCGTGATCAGCTCTGGCTAACGATTCATTAACCGCACAGATCGACTGCCTGCCAATCGCTGGTAACCGCAGCATGCGCCAATTGGCCGTTGGCCACCCATGCCTTGCCCTGATTGGCTGAGTTTTAGCCGTGCTACCCTCTGATTGGCGGCGGCTCTGACTGGGCGGAGCCCGCCCCCAGTAACGGCGAGGTGCGCCTGACAAACGGGGCCTGGAGCCCCAGCCGACCTTCGGTTTTTCTTCACCACCAAGGCCGACGGCACCGTGGACGTGTGGGACATCCTGTACCAGCAGCGGCTGCCCGTGCTCACCGTACAGGTAGGATGTGATCCGCTCACTCCATCTTTAGCGCAAAGGTGATGGTGATGAGAATTGAGGCTTTAGGGCACGATATCTGCGGTCCCCAACAAACGTTAAAATACGATGTCTTGTCAGCCATGCAAGTCTTCTACAGAAAAGAACAGTGTTCCTTTGTGCGATATCCTGACCTGACGTGATACCATCCCAGGAGGCTGGTGACGGCTAGAGGACGTCGCGGGTGCAGTGCTTTGACTTGACCTGACCTGAACTGGACCTGACCTGACCTGGGCCCCAGGTGGGCGAACAGTCACTGGAGACGCTGCGGGTGCAGGAGGCCGGCTCGATCCTGGCGGCCGGCAGCGCCGACGGTCAAATCACGCTGCTCGAAGCTCTCCGACAGCCTCGTCAGCTCGCAGAAGAACGACCGGCTCGTGCTGACGCGGTAGGTCGCCGGCCCGGCGCTGGCTCCGGCCGCGGCCAGCCGCTGATCCCGCGGCGGTGTGGCACCTCCGTCGAGTGGCAGAGACTAACGACGGTTGACTTGGCGCGCGGGGTCGTTTGTCTCACCCGCGAACGAGCCCGAGCCTCTCGCGGGGAAGTCTGAGGCTCTCGCAGCTGACTTGTTGTCCCTCCCGCCCTGCCATAAGCGCCGCACACCGCGCGACGTGCCGAATGTAGGGATCGCGTGCGCGCCACGAGGCGGGACTGACTCCCAGGTGCCGATCTCTTGATACCGATGACCTTTTCGGGGCTGAGTTCATATCCGCTCCAGCCAACTGATGCCTCGTATCCATGTGAGTTTGGAACTGCTGCAGCCGGGTGTTGTGTCTGTGCACGATGTTGCCCCCGTTTGCCAGAATGTTTGAGCGGGAGACGCGACGTGAGAAAATCCTCGGAAGGGGAAGAAATCGCGAGGGCGCGACTGCTGAAGAAGATGAAGGCCCGACAGCTGCAAACTCCGCCGGTGAGACGCGCGTCGGTCACGTGATGGCCACCCCGAGGGACAGCACTGGCACGCTGCGCACGTGATGGGGAGGACCAGGTGCATCCGATCAGTCAGCATGCTATTTTTCGGAGCTGAGTACGCCAGGATATCATCTGTTTTAATCCAAAACCTGACCGCACTCGACCCTCTGACCGCATCCGACCCTCTGACCGCACCCGGCCCTTCTGACCGCACCCGGCCTTCTGACCGCACCCGACCCTCTGACCGCACCCGGCCCTTCTGACCGCACCCGGCCCTTCTGACCGCACCCGGCCCTCTGACCGCACCCGGCCCTCTGACCGCACCGGCCCTCTGACCGCACCCGGCCCTCTGACCGCACCCGGCCCTCTGACCGCACCCGGCCTCTGACCGCCACCCGGCCCTCTGATCGCACCCGGCCCTCTGACCGCATCCGGCCCCTCTGACCGCACCCGGCCCCTCTGACCGCACCCGCCCTCTGACCGCACCCGGCCCCTCTGACCGCACCCGGCCCTCTGACCGCATCCGGCCCCTCTGACCGCATCCGGCCCTCTGACCGCACTCGTTCCCCTCTGACCGCGCCCGCCGCCGGTGCCGCCAGTGTCTGAGCGCCCGTCGACCATCTCCCCGACGCTGACGGCCAGCGCGCGCGCCGAGAAGGAGCAGATCGAGGTGGAGCTGATCGAGGAGGCGCAGAAGAGCTTCTTCGAGACCGTGTACAAGGTGGGGTCGTGCGGGTGCCGCTGGACGTTTGCGCTAACCGATGGGGAGGCGTCCGGGCTGGGCCGGGCGAGTGCCGAATCTAAATGGCGGCGCTGATTGGTGGTTTGTGAGTGCCACGGAAGTCAGGATGGTTCATTCTGACCCGTGGTGGAACAGGTAACGGGGTGCTTGATATGGATGTAAATTGCTCAGGAGGAGGAAGGCACAAGTATTGCTTACGCTGTTAAAAGGTGAGATATTTGCACGTTCGTTTTACCGGGTTCCGTAAGCGTCCACAGCTTCCCCAGTGCGCTGTCGTCTTTTGGGATTGAATCAAATTCGAGGTGGAGACCACCCAAACATCAGTTGGCTACCGTGGAGCTCGGGGCATCGTGAAATAACAGCGACACATTTTTTGTCGCTAGCGCCGGCGAATACATATCAGCGCTTGCAGAGTGTTTTGCGTGCTTCTGTGGTCCGAAGGACTTGACGCACGTAATGAGGTGTTGAGGCGAGCATCGCGGGCGAACGCCCCGTCACGTCATGGCCGGCGTACGCTCCTGAAGTCGGAGCGCGCGTCGCCGCGCACGCGGCCGCAAACGTCGGCGTCTCCACGCGCTGTTATCACCCGTCCTCTCACCTGCCGTCGTCGGTGCCGCGTGCCCGCAGGAGAAGGCGGCACGCCAGGAGTGCCAGCAGCGGCAGATGAGCGAGAAGGGGGTGGAGGCGCAGCTGGACAGCGTCGACTTCCAGGCGCCCGACCTCAGCGCCGACTCGCCCGGCCCGCAGGGTACGTCCCCGTCGCCGCAGGGATAGCGCAGGTGCTGGGCCACGGCGCCGGCACTGCCGTGACGTCAGAGTGACGTCGGGTGCGCACGTTGGTGTCATGTCGGGGTAGCAAGTGGGCACGTCACTTTTTTGCCTTTTTAGTTTAGACTACGCTGTGCCGAAATACCACCACCTCCCATTTTTGAACGTTTTGCGACGCCTTCCAGCCGTTATGAGTTGCACGGTTCTCGTGCCCGTCGCATCGTCCCCACAGACCCGGCCGCAACACGATGCTTGCGGTGTACCACAGCGGGTGCCTATTGCGGTGCCGTCCTGCGCCCCCTCCCATCCTCTGACTGGCGGTAACCGCCCCTACAGATGCCGCTGGCGCTAACCTGGCCAGCTCGGCCGCCAGGCAGGGCTCGGTTGGCTCAGTCGCCGCCAAATCCTCGTCCACCGCCGCCGCCAAGGCGTCATCCACAATGGCCGCCAAGGCCTCATCCACCATGGCCGCCAAAACCTCGTCTACCATGGCCGCCAAAACCTCGTCCACTATGGCCGCCAAAACCTCGTCCACCATGGCCGCTAAGCTCTCGTCCACGGTGGCGGCCAAGATCTCGTCGGTCATGGCCGCGAAAACGTCATCCACCGCCACTGCGCGCAAGTCGTCCACTATGGCGGCCAGGACGTCGTCCACGGCCGCCGCAACAGCCTCGTCGACGGAAGCGACGCAGGCTTCGTCGGCGACGGGCGCCTCATCGGCGACGGGTGCCTCGTCGGCGACCGCAGCGTCGTCGGCGACGGCGGCCTCGTCGGCGGCGGCGGCCGCCGAGTCGACGTCGTCGGCGGCGGCGACAGCACCGACAGACGACTCAGCCGGCTCGTCGAGCATGGTGACGGCGGCCGGCGACGACGAGTCGGGCCTGGCGCCGGTCATGTCCGTGGCAGACCAGATCGCCGACGTGGTGGACGGCCTGGAGGCGGCCGTCGACGACCTGCTGGACCCGAGCCGCGAGGAGACCGAGGCCACGTCCCCCGAGGACACGGCCGACCAGACCACCGACTCGTGAGCTGGTGACTGCCAGAGAAGACCGGCGACAAGCATAAGGAGAAGGGGAGGGGGGGGGGGGGCTGCGGAGAGAGGAGGGGACGCGGAGGGAGGAGGGGCTATTGCTAAAGCCTGGAAGAGAGGTGATCCGTGGCTAAGGTGGGGCATAATGACACCGCGATGACATCGCGATGACACCGTGGAACACCGCAATGGGATAAGCTCGCGAATGGTGATGAGTGGTCGGACGCTCCTGAGTGGAGTGAAGCAGCTGAGAGGGAGCGTGCTTGGGAGTGGATGCTGTGAAAGAGGTTGTCAGGTGGACGCCTGAAACGAGTGAAAATGGCATTTCTAGGGAAGCTTAACAAGCTCTAGGGGATAATGAAACGGGAAACTGGATGAACGCCGATTTTTGGGAGTGAATATCAAACGAAGACCTTCTACCAAGCTGCAGAGAGGAGATACAAATTAGGCCAATTTGCGCGAAATATGATATGCAGAAGCGAGTGGTGAGCTAATTTCAACGTGGGGATTACGTGAACACGCTGCCGGGGGATCCCTACCGATGCGTTCGGTTACAAATGGTTGGTAGCGAAGCCGAAAGTGCACGTGAACCTCGACAGCTTCTGGTTTACGAAGACAATGCCGCAGATGTTCGCAGAAGCCCCTGGCAATGATCCGACAAACAATGTACGTCCAGGCAACGTCACGACGGTCCTGTTCTGGCACAGCAGGTCGCCCGCGCACGAGCTGGCTGTTGGAGCGGGGTGCATGCTGGTGCAATCTAACGCCCCCGTACGGGCGCACAGGCGAGGGTGCGCTGAGCAAAGCGACGTCGAGGACTACCCGTGGCGTCTGGAGCCGTTCCTGTCGACGGTGTTGGAGTGCGAAGCACGGGAATGCTGCGAGATGTTCGGTAGGCGCCGAATTGGCTGAATAGTGACTAAGCGACTTGTACGACACGTCGGAAAATCGAACTATTTTGTTTCGTTTGCTTTTACCTTTCATGAGGGTCATGAGGACAAAAAGAGAATATAAAACTACAACAGGGCATATTGTGTGCATACGTAGCGGACTTTCCCCAGAGCACAGGGCTTCAAAACTTTAGATCTCAAATGTGCATTTCAGGACGACGGAAAGTTTTAAATCTAAGCGGACCTGACACCCCAGCCTCTAAAGTCCCCCGATCTTTCGTCATATGTGCCTCGGTTTCCTGCGTCCCGAAACATTTCAAAATGATCACCTTGGAAGCTTCAGCCAACGAAGGAACTTCTGCACGCTCATGTAATGTGTCAGGCTTAAATGGCATGTTCCCTACGTCCGCACCAAACCAAGTACGTTGCGCATGGTCGGAGCATGGGGAGAAGCGCTGCACTTGCTACTTCCGGTGCACCGGCAGCGACACAGTCTGCGGACTTCGCTTTATTTAGCGAGCATGGCGGGCGCGCGCACCGCTGCACCACCGGCTCCGCACCTCAGTTGGCGTGCACACGGAGACGCTGGCTGCGTGGTCGCGACGGTGAAGACCGCCGTTTGTGCACGACGCCTGGTGTTCGGAGGTAAGCCGAGTGGGTCGGGTGGCAGGTCTGTCTGAGAGGTGATCCGAAATGTGTTTTTTTCCCGTTACTTCTTGCTCACGTGGTCATCCTCGCCAACGCCAAGAGCGCCCCTGGTTCGCTGGCGCTATTCCTCTGTTCAGTCTAGAGCCTTGCGGCGTGATTATGGTGGCGGTTTCCGACTGCTTGCCTCGGATGTCTGCAAGAGCATTCATACCTTATTCACTAATGGTTGGGATTGTCTACACTGTGGCCCCTGCTTCAGCGGCGGCCGGTCGACTAATCAACCGAGCGGCAGCCGGCCCGCAGGCGGCGCGGCCGGCCGCCGGCTCCCAGCTGTGTCCGCCGCCGGCGCCGGCCTTGTCACTGCCGCCTGCCGCCCGCCAGGCGGCGTCAGCCTGCGCGCAGGCGGAGCCTGGCGCCGCGGAGCCGCCTGTGCTCTCCTTAGCTGTACCGAAGGTCACCGGTGTGCCAGGTGAGATGCCGCATTTGAAGATAACTAACGACGGGAAATTATCTGTTCATGCGTGCTGGTCACCCAGCAGAGTGGCGCAGTGCAAGCGTGCTGTGCACATAACCCAGAGGTCCGTGGATCGAAACCACGCTCTGCTAGTTTTTTTCTGGGTGTAGTCGCTTACGTTTCACCTTTGACAACGGTTATAATTATCAGGCGACGTTTGTGTAGTTCCATTGTTATCCGCTAGCAGAGTGGCGCAGTGGAAGCGTGCTGGGCCCATAACCCAGAGGTCCGTGGATCGAAACCACGCTCTGCTACGTCTTGTGGGCAGCGTCTTGTGCGTCACTTTGCTTCAAGGTACACGTCCCACACGGAACTCAGGCACGAGTGGCATAAAAACCACACGGAGTGTCCATTTGACTTTCCATTCAAGGCTTCGCTCGTTCTACGTGCAGAAGCACATGCCAAAACTAACAACAAAAAAGTTATCCGCTACTCGTGACATCTCGAAAGCAGGCGCTTTCCACCGGTTGACTGTCCAGGTCCCACCGCCGTCGTCTGACCTCCTCACCCTGACAGCACGGCCCTCGCGGCGCCGGGAGTCGGCGGCGCCGCCGCACGCGCCGCCCGTCCGGCGAGCCACCACCGAGGACTCTGAGACCAGCTGGTGCAGCCAGTCCTCGGACGCCGGCGAGTCCTCGGAGGAGGAGGAGGAGGCACCAGCGGTGGAGGAGACCGGCAGCGGCGTCGGCTCGGACGGCGGCACCGGCAGCGAGGGCGACGGCCGGTCCGCCAGCGGCGCGGTCTCCGAGGACGACTGAGGCAGTGGCTTGGACGGTGGGCTCGGGGTCGAGGGTCAGCTGCTGCCCCTCCCCCAGTCGGGGCGAAAATTAATAGAGGTCGCTAGCTTCTCACAGCAAGAAACCAGATGAACTCTGCTTTTGCTTCTCCCTCAATTCTCTGGGCTTCATCGGCACTATGCTTCGAGGGAGACCGACGGGTGAAGTGAGCACGTTGCGTACATGACGCCCATGTCGCATGGAGGGAGTTGGATGGCGAGAAGCCAACACCCGGACTAGTGAGGTTCAAAGTGTGACATCCAGGCGCGTAAGGCACTGCAGTCTGCGCACGCAGATGACAGGATAGTTGAGGATTCTATCAATAACTACGACAGTTCCAAGCGGACAGTGTGTATGGGGGGGGGGGGGTGGTCCGGATACACCTGACCCCAACACGTGGGTAGTGAGCTCCTGATCAACCACCGAGTGTTTGCTGGACGCTGTGTCAGCTGATGGCTCGGTCGTGTCAGCGCCTGTAGATGACTTATCACGTGACAAATCCGAAAACGACCTTGTTCACTGCATTTGACCATGACTAAACGCCAACAAACACCACGCGTTTACATGGCGATAAATGCACAGTATTGTTCGGGTTGATCTAGTGGAATGCACTGCCTGGGGGGGGGGGGGGGGGGGGAGGCGCATGGTACCACAATGACGTGGACGCGAACCAACAAAACTACCGCCAGATCCCAGCATCTCGATCCCCTCGTTTCCTTTCAGCATTTTGAATATCGTTTATCCCAGGTAGAGTATGTGCAATAATAAAGATACCTGGCACGTCTCGCTGAAGTTTTACGCCGAGATCCGCTGTCGTCGATTCACCAAACCCTAGCGGAGACGACTCCCCATACAACTTCTACGGGTCTGTTCCAGTTCTCTCTGTTTAGGAACTTCCGAGGTATTACCAGAGAGATCACACGCTCTCCGCTAAACCCACCGAACAAAGGTGACGTCATCAACCACAGCGCCTGCTGGGCCCATTACGCACATGCCGCCGCTACTCCCCCACAGTCGTATAGCCTGGTCACGACTCGTTGCATTCACGTTTACTTGGTGGCTGTGGTGAAGGTCGTGTGGTAATCTCTCTGAAGGCGATCAAGACGTCGTATTTGATGAGTATACGACATTCATATATTATTCAGTAACACTCAGTGTCGTCTAAGCTGCCCTGCAAAATACCATTTAACAGGTGAGTGCCCGGAGTTGGAGTAAGAACCTAGAGATGCGTCGTCTTTTGATGAGATGTTTTTGGCCGCGTGATGGCGTCACGGAACGAATGTAATGATGCGTTGAATAGGTGCCTGTATGGCTTCTTTTGTACTCCATTGACTATTGTTGTGCTGCCCCAGCACGCCACTGTGGCCCCTGCTTCAGCGGCGGCCGGTCGCCCAATCACCCGAGCGGCAGCCGGCCCGCAGGCGGCGCGGCCGGCCGCCGGCTCCCAGCTGCGTCCGCCGCCGGCGCCGGCCTTGTCACTGCCGCCTGCCGCCCGCCAGGCGGCGTCAGCCTGCGCGCAGGCGGAGCCTGGCGCCACGGAGCCGCCTGTGCTGTCCTTAGCTGTGCCGAAGGTCACCGGTGTGCCAGGTGAGGCGCCGCATTTGGAGTTAAGTAACGACGGGCAAAATATCTGTTCATTACAAGCTTACCCAGCAGAGTGGCGCAGTGGAAGCGTGCTGGGCCCATAACCCAGAGGTCCGTGGATCGAAACCACGCTCTGCTACGTTTTGTAGGCAGCGTCTTGTGCCAAACTTCGTTTCAAACCACACGTCCTCCACGGAACTCAGGCACGAGTGGCATAAAAACCACACGGAGTGTCCATTTGACTTACCATTAAAGGCTGCTTGTTCCACATGCAGAAGGACATGTCAAAACTAACAACAAGAAAGTTTTCTGCTGCTCGTGGCATCTCGAAAGCAGGCGCTCCACCGGCTGACTGTCCAGGTCCCGCCGCCGTCGTCTGACCTCGTTGCCCTGGCAGCACGACCCTCGCGGCGCCGGGAGTCGGCGGCGCCGCACGCGCCGCCCGTCCGGCGAGCCACCACCGATGACTCTGAGACCAGCTGGTGCAGCCAGTCCTCGGACGCCGGCGAGTCCTCGGAGGAGGAGGAGGAGGCACCAGCGGTGGAGGAGACCGGCAGCGGTGTCGGCTCGGACGGCGGCACCGACA